TTTGAATTCTGAATATGAGCGGACTTTTCCTTCATTGATTTACAGGCTGATTATATTTGTGATAAATCATGATGAATAGAGTTTGTCTGTGGAAAACGTGGGTTAAATGTTGTTCCTCATGTTGTCGCTGTTTGGACCTTTATCATACTGGCATTCATTTCCTGATGGATGAAGCCATTTTGGTCACATTAATCTAACTGGACGTTTGCTGTACTGTTTTACCACAGCGTGCTACAGCGCTTTATAACTGATACTCATCATGTCTGTGATTAAACCTAAGTTCATCCCTCTGGTCTATGAAGGCCTCAGGGGTTTATAAACAGCATTACAGAGCTCTTAGCAAGCTGGTGACCCCTGAATGTTCAGCCAGAACTACAATGGAATGGATGCAAACATGTTCTTGTTTTCGGTCGGTTCAGGTTTGTTTCCTGGTTTGATTCAAAAGTGAACATTTAGAGTAGAAATAGCAAAAATTTTCAGCCTAGACGGGTTAGAAATGTACTTCTGAAGACCTTCAGGTTGTCTGCAGAGAAAAGATCTTAACTTTTGACCAGAGAGGCTAAATTCAAAGGAACTGGATTTTCTGTTATTTTCTAGAACAAAGTGATGAAGAAAAAAAGCCACGGGGTTTTGAAACATGTTTTAATGTGAGGACTTTGTGTTTCCAGGTGATCATAATCCAGCCCCAGGCCCCCAGCAGCACCGAGGGGTCCCCAGGGGTCCAGGCTGACCTCTCCTCTCAGGAGGCTCCATCTGTAAAATCTCCTCCAAAGAAGAAGAAGGAGGACCCGGAGGTGAAGTCCAGTTTGGTTTTACAGCTGAAGCTTTCCTGGAGGCGCAGAGTGACTCTATTCTTCTTCATTTCTTGCAGAAAATGGCCTTCATGGTCGCCCTCGGCCTCGTCACCACGGAGCAGCTGGAAGGTGAGTTCAGCCTGAAAAGAAGAAACTAAAATGTTCAGTGAGCTTTTTTTATGACGCAGCGTCTCTGAACTTTAATGTGAACAGAGATCCAGACGAAGAGGCAGGAGAGGAAGAGGAGAAGCACAGCCAACCCGGCCTACAGCGGCCTCTTCGAGCCGGAGGTGAAACATTTTCCAAACGCCACGTTTTTTATTCTGGGACCGTCCAGCTGTAACCTGACTTCCTGTTTCCTCTGCAGCGGAAGCGCCTGCCCTCACATTATCTGAACAGCTCCCTCTACCTGTCGGCACGAGGTAACGCACCCTGACTCAACAACACAGCAGCAGTTACTACTTCTAACACCAGGGGGCAGCATCTCTCCCTTTAGATTCCTCATTAATGTGATAACTGACCCAGAACCATCAGAACACTGCATGTAGAACAGGTTCTGCTCATTTTAGAGCTTCCCCACTGCTGTAGGAGCAGAGATGCACACAGAGAACCAGAACAGAAGGTCATATTTAACTCCGCTGATCCAGACTGCAGAGTTAGATACTTTGAGTTTATCTGTAATGTTAAATAGTGACTAAATAACCAGATTTTATGCATGCTGGGTTAACCTTTGCTTTCTTGCCTTACATGCATTACTAACCAGAAACACTGAATACATCAAGCCTGCTCTGATAGTTAATTTTGCCCTGATCTACAAAAACAGTAGAAAGCGTCCAGAGAACCATAATGCACTGCAGCAGGTTGACCGCTGATGGGACTTAGTCCTTTATTTCAGTTTTTACTGAAGTCTAAAGCATCAGTAGCTTTCTTTAAGCGTTGCTTTTGCAGCTTTTCCTTCCCAGAGTTAACCTTAATCCTCCTCTAACGTTCACTAACCACTGCTCTGCTCCATCCACATGCTAATCAGAGGATTTCTGCTGGAAGGTAGGTCACATGACGACTGATGTCACGGCTCAGAGGTGTCCAGCAGCTAGACTGACTTCTGCTGCGTCTGTTTTCAGGAGGAGCTGGAGCATGAAGACCACTGCGCCGTCTGTAAGGAGGACGGAGAGCTGCAGGTCTGCCACAACTGCCCCCGAGCCTTCCACCCCAGCTGCCTCCACCCGCCCATCAAAAGCCCCCACAAAGGCCCCTGGTACTGCCCCAAGTGCCAGAAGAAGGTGAGTCTGAGACGCCGTTAGGTCTTTGCAGCTCAGAGGCGACACAAAAAATTGAGTTGTAATTTGTGCTTTCAGGTCCTGAACAAGGAGAACCTGTCGTGGCCTCAGAGCTTCGTTCAGTCCTACGTTACACACAAGACAGGTGAGACGCCGAAGCTCGGGTCCTCGGCTCGCAGCTGTGGCGTTGCCTCTGCTGACCGAGCGTGTTTGTGTTGCAGTGAGGCAGGAGGAGAAGCGGCGGCTGCTGAGACGGAACACCGAGCTGAAGAAGGAGTGCGCTCATCTGGAGGAGCAGGACGAGAAGCTCAACAAGACGCTCAAAGTGAGAAAACACACAAACCTGCCACATGGTTAGCATGTGAACGGAGCGGCGCTCCCCGCTAAGGGGGATGTTTGCTCATTCAGAGTTTGAAAACGTTTCTCTTCCATCCGGGAAGCTTTTTCAATTCAAAATGTCAGAAATAGCGTTTAGTTCCAGGTTTTTGTTTTGAAAACATGCAGATTGGAACAGATGAAGGGGTCCATCTATTAGGAATGGAGATCGTTTGTTAGCCTGCAATGCCCCATATCTAAGTCTCTGAAAGGTCGGTCGTTAGAGGGAATTGTCGGACGAGGTCCTCCACTCTCCTGGGGCTCCGATGATAACAGGAAGGAATCAACTCAATAACAGCATTGTACGTTTTTGGAAGCTGGAATCTGAATCCACCATCTCTGTTTAAGGTTGGTTTCTCTTCCTTAACGATCCTCTCAAACCACCTGCCTTGTTTGTCCAAAATGTGAACATTCTGGTCCTCAAAGGAATGTCCTTTGTCCAGAGGAGGGCGCTCTTCTGTGTTGGGCCGTGCGTCTGTGGAGAGGTGTTTTGGTTTCTCCAACATAAAGATCAGAGCATTCCTCTCTGCATTGAACTGCAGACACTTTGCTCAGATTTGGTCTGGAGGTTTTGTCCTTAGGATGCAGCATCTGTCTAACAGTCTTCTTCAGACTCCAGCAACATGTGGGATGGAGATGTTTTTGCAAAAACATCTCCATCCCACAT